CAGGAGGAAGAGACAATTAGCACTCTGACCACTGCTGGCACACCTGGGTCTCAGCCAGGAGCACCAAACAGTTGGTATTCGGCCACTTGAAACGGTACCGCCTGAACTGCGTGCCCTGCATTTCCAATTCCACACCCCATCGCCCAAAGTGCATTCCTCGGGCACGCTCACACATCCCGCAGCGGGCACGGCCATGGGACAGGAACAGGATTTCCCACTACCGCAGCAGCAGTTCTCCAGCCACGCCAAGGGCAATCCACGCTGGGCCCCTCTCCACTACTATTAAAGTGAATAGAAACGCCACCGCTCGCTTGGGTAAGAGCTCATACACATTCTCCCATTCTTCCAAGAGACTCAGCCCTGCCACGGGCACTAGGGCTAATGCTTTCATAGATTAAATCCCCATTGATTATAACCCCGGTGTATGCCACAATGAGAGCCCTCTCATTCACACTCTTCAAACACTAAGCCATAAAGGTCACTAGCAGAACCAGATATACCAAGCAATGGCAATAAATCCAAATCTACGGCAGAGAGCCATTAGCTAGAGGAACAACGTAAGACCAGTACTTACCTCAGCGGATAAAGAGCTCTGGAGAAGACCACATGCTCCCCATGAAACCCACACCCCACTGCATGGCAGGAAAACATCACAATAGATTGACTGGGGTGACCAGAAAAATCACCATCACTCTTAACCCTCTTCCTAGAAATCCCCAGACATCCTTTGGATTGACTTCAGTGTAACTGAACCCGCCTTGGAGCGGAGCAGAACAGCATGGGCTTGATAAAAAAAACCAACTAACTTGTGTACAGTGCCCTGTGACTGGGAAGGCCTCCTCAGGGACAAGATGCCATCGTGCTACATCTGATGGGTCAGGCAAGCCCCTTCTGGTGTCAGTACACAGCCACTTTTAGGAGAGGCTGTAAAGGCTAAGGCAATCCAAAGAGCATGCTGAAGGTGGGAGTTGAATGACTGAAGGAAGCCGAAATGCTGCTAGGGACATCGAAACGAAAGGGTTTTTTTCAGTAAAATGCTGTATAGGATTCAAGGCAGAGCCCAGAACAAGCAGGACAGCAGAAATCATTTCAGGATCACATTTTGGTATGTTACAAATCCAGAGACTCTGCAAGCCAGAAGGACGGCAATATAATCTGCTAGCGATCACTCTGTGGAACATATTTCCTCTGGATTTCTCTTCACAGATGAGGAGAAAAGAACCGGTGCCTATCAGCCAGTACCACTGAGCTGTTGCCATTTGCTCATCCCTTTCACTCGGGCTCCCTGGAGCTCTCTGATTAGCGTAGGGCTTTCAAAAGTCACTTTAGAGAGCTGGAGCTGCTCAGGAACTGAAACCTGCTACCAGGGAGCTGAGAACTACCTTAAGAAAGCAAATTTCACATTATTGCAAACTGGCCAAGGGCAACCAGTAGCAAATTCAACAGTTGTTTATATCAGGGAAGCTATCAAATGCAATTTGCTTCTGCTTGCCTGTTGCGAGGAAAGAGAGCACGAAGTCCCAGTATGCCCTCTGGCAGCAGAGGTAAAGCTTACACAATCCAAGGCTGTAGACTTGCCATGACTTCCCCAGCCACAAGATCTCACTCAAGAGGGAAGCAACATTATTTAATAATTGCTAAAGAACCTTCTGGCCTCTGCCTCACATTCAAATGTACCTACATACACTTTTTGTATTTCCTCCCAGAAGTTTACTGAAGTATGTACTACCTGGAACAGAAAACAGTTTGGAGCGTTTGCCAACTGATGAGGTTAAACTACAACAGACAGCACTTTGAACAGACAGCAAAAAAAGATATTTATAGCCCAGGAATGTTGCTTGCCATCACTTGCTATTGAAGCTAGACAAGAGAAGAGAAGCTCTGATGGACAAACACGCTAGTTAGGAGAGTAGGAAAGAAAAAGCACTTTACTTGTGTTTTCTTTTAAAAGACGACAGCTACAGGTCTAACAACGGGAAAAATCAGTGTTTGTGGAAGTTGCCTAACCAAAGCCCTTTGCATCATGATTTGATTACATCTGTGAGATCCCGATGTTTAGAAGTATGCTGCTCTTCAAAGCTGCACGGACACAGCAATTTTTGCAGGGCCAAACACCCAGATCCATGGTCAGCAGCATGTTTTGTGAAAGGGCTCAGCTGAACGCTTCTTACGGCTTCCAAATCCAGGCTGCGGTCTCTTCTCGGACCTGCTTCTTCAACTGAAGCAATTCACATGTGCTTTCAGTTTTAGCACCTTGATGCATTCATTTATCTTAGAAGGCAAAAAAACTTGCCCAGGGATCAGATGGACACATGCAGCTTCTTCTCTCCATGTCACGGTTGCAATCTAAATATACTTCATTTCGGGAAGTTCTTTATTTTCCTTCTCTCTTCCCTTTGCCTGGTGTCGGAGAACGAAGACGAATAGAGATGTGAATCACAACAACTCAAAGGCTCCTGGCCAGCACCAGCTGGCTGTTCCACAGACCTTTCCTCTTAATAGGAAACAGAACTTATTCCCAAATATACTTCCAAGACAATTAAACAGAAAAAGTAATTTTTTTGAACCTAGTAGTATAAATTCTTTAATTTACAACTAGTGGATGCGATTACGATGACCAAGCAACCTGTTTGTACTTAGCAAAAGCAGCAGTGGCAACTAGAGCTATATGATTCAACTCCTCTTTTCACGAAACCTACACAATTAGTTCATGACATACAAAATTAGTTCATGAATAAAGACCCTACAAAAGGGTGCCACATTAAAATCCACAGCTGACACACACACTCACAGAACCAGAACACACACGTGCATGACCTAAGTTTGAAGAGCATTAGCAAATACTAGATATCCTCCAAGAAGGAGGCCCCCCTTGTACCTGTGTAATGCTGTCTTAATTAAGACAGCGTAACCCATCAGCCGTGCAGATGCAGGACAGGTTGACTTCAGAACAGCATGTTGTTTTTCCTATGAAATATCCCTTGAAATAACAAACTTCCATCGGCATTACTACAGATTAGGAGCGGGACTTTTCCTCCTCAATGTGTATATTTGCAGATGTTCATAGTAAACATGAACCTGCACACACACGTGCTCCCAGAGGATTTCACAGAAAGCGCTTTGCAAACTGACTGGTTGATCTGCTAAATCATTCCATCCACTGGAGTTGCAGTCTCTAAGAAAGAACATCACTGTTTTTAAACAGCACCAAGAATGTTATGAAACAGTTCAGGAGGAGAAAGAATAAAAGGTTAAAATAAACATAAAAGCAAGAAACAGAAAAACCAGAAGGGAAGTTAGCAGTACAGTAAGGTAGAGTAAAAACTATTGAAAAAAATCCAGAGAAGATTACTAGGCATGCATTTTGGAGCCTCTGCTTAACTTGCAAAAGGATAGCACTTTCAGCAAAATGCATGGCTTCTCTATTAAATCACCCCGCTGAAGACAAAGGCATTGTCCTCTACTACATCATCAAGACTCCCTTCAATCTTGGTGGCTTTTCCAAGCTGCTAAAACTTTCCTGAAGGTTTTTCTGAAGACCTCATCTCTGCACTCCTGCCCCAGCACTCACAAAACACCACACTGGATTTGACTGGAGAGCAGACAATCTTAGAGCTCTCTTAAGCCTCATCACCACCTGACTGAAGTATTAAACTTCATATTAGTAACCCATTTTTGGGGGTGTTTTCCAACATCATCCTGCACGTAGAACTAAGATCACATTAAATTCATTCCCACAGCAACAAGCATCCAGCACACTACATTGAAGATGTGGTGTCTCCCTATATGCTCTGCTATTACAGTAGTTCATGCTGATATTTCATTTTATGTTTTCTAACTGCTCTCTAGCTTCCAACCGAGGGAATTCCACCACTGTGGGTGGTTCAATACAGATGAAATGAAACTGGCAAGTAGGAACCCTAAAGCAATTATTTTCAGCCCCTATTCAGTACAAATTTGAAAGCACTGTGATGTCATCTTTATGAGCTGATTATAGAGATGCTAAATAGTTTTCCTACTATGCTCCCAGATAGCTAAACTAGGATCTTTCTCTATAGTCTTCTAAACTATCTTGGTCTTTAGATCTTTTTTTACCCCGCCACAGTAACATCTGTTTAAATTAAACAACAAAAATCAATTTAAAAGACAGCAGAGTTATTTGTGTGCATGCTGAAGAATCAGAACTCAACCTGAGCCACATTAATTCCAGACAGAAACATGTTTCTGTGCTGCAACTTTTCAGGTGGCTACCACTGCGTATCCTGGAGTCATCCCGAAAACTACTGTGATTGCTGCATGATAAAACAGCCTAAAGAAAGTTGCTGGGAAGCTGAGGGCTGCTTTGCAAGGGGCTGTGAATCCCAAGCAATGACAGCAGAAAAGTTTCTTGACTAGGGACATAACTGTTTTGCACCTTCTGCCAATGGGAAACATCTGCACTGAAGCCTTTTCCCTCTGAAAGAGCACAGTTATTCAGAGAGGAGAATTTAAACTGCTTCTGAAGTTTAGCTGGTAACATTTACACAATGTTGATGGCATGTACTGTAGCTTTCTGGTCTAAATCAAGCATATTTTAATAATATTACAGAATACATATTGCCTGAACTTGTAGACAGTTTGCAACATGTCTTTTTTTAGTTCATCTGTGCATGCCTGTGAGCAAGCAAGGGGAGAAAATCTTTAAACTTGGTCACAACATCTTTGCAAAGTGACACTGAATATCTGTGTCATCCCACCCCAGCCAAATCAAGTCTCAGGGGACAGGAATTAGAAGAAATGTCTACCCTCTTCCCAGCCTGCTGGGTCTAAACATCATACTTTGTAAGAAACTGTTGGGAGAGAAAGAAAATACGTTCAAAGAGTAAAGAGAAGAAGAGAAATCAAACTTTCAGCCCCAAAGCAAGAGAGCGTTAGAAATGTTTAAACCAATTCATCAGCCCCTTCATCTCTAGCAATAAAGCCACTGTTCTGGCTTGCAGTCTCGGCAGGACTGCGTTTACCTTGGAGTTAGTGGTAGGCTGTGCTGGGGGTGACCTCTGTCTTGTCGTGCTTCATGAAGTTCTTTCTTCTGGGCTGAGCGCGCCGTCTGAGTGGTCCCCTCTGCGCTGGAAAAATATCCTGCAGCCAGAGAAATACGCTGCAAGAAGCTGCTGCTTCCTGGCAAATTTCACTAGAGTTAGTCAAGCAAACCCCTCCCAAGACCCAGCCCCTTTAGCCTCAGCTCATAGCGGGTGATATCATGGGCTTGTCTTGTAATCTGAGCAGAAGGACTGCAAACAGAAAAGAAATGGAGGTGGGGGGGGAATCTAGCCAGGGTTGCAAGGAAGGAGGTGGATTAGGAATATGAATGCTTTCTCAGGATGTTCCTAGAGAACAAATATTGAGAATCATATCAATACCAGTGTTAAATAATACAGTGCGATCACAGCAGTTTTTAAGCACCCCAATTTGATTCAGAGCCTCACAGTGCTAAGCACTCTACAAATTCACGGGGGTGCATGGTCTTACAGTACAGCATCTTTAAACTTACACCCCTTTCTATAGTTTGTAGAGTCTGCAGCATGCCATCTCCCCAGCTATTCAGGTATCAGCCACCTTAACCCTTCGGCACCCAGCAACTGCTTTTCCAGCAGCTCAATATTCTTAAAGCTCGTAACTACAGCAGCTCAAACCAAGGCACACACTTAAAAACCATCTAGATCTGCAGCAAGGGTTACTCCATACTCCTTGACGTCCCAAGGACTAACCAGATACTAAAAGCAATTCTTCATTAAAAAAACAACAGAAAAATCAGAGCATCTGCGGTGTGAACAGCTAGCAGTGAAATAGTAACACTGGTCTGAGCTAGTTGAAACAGTTCTTCTATCAACAAGTATCAGCTAAATCAATTAGACATTATTCTGAGGCAACTGTAAACTTCTGCAACCTTTTCAACTAGAGGAGGGTTTGTGTTTTTAAAACTGTCCTTTTTTTTTTTTAATTTAGGCTTTTAATGCATCATAACAATTCTATTCACTTCCACTTTCTGTAACTGTGAAAATAACAAGAAAACAGTGGCTTTCAAATCTCTATTGCAGAGAAGACCTTGAAATTTTGTCTTCTGACCCAATTTTGGACAGCAACACATTCTGAAGTGTCAGCATTTCCCAAAGAATGGAAATTTATTTTCTTACCAGCTTTGACCCTGGGTATTTACATCTACGTTCAATGGGTTTTTCAAACGAGTCAGCAGAAAGCTGCCAGGCACAGAAAGAACAGCAGGTATTCCCAAAGGCTAACTTTCAAAGGAATATCCCCATTGATTTCAGTATATTCATATTTGTAAGGGACTTTCCAGCAAGACCTTCCCTAGCACAGGGCTGCTGCCTATAGCATACTCTTCCAGGTTAGTCCTGCCTGGTTTCACATCAATTCTCAAATTAATTCTATTAATTATTTTGAAAAGTTCAAGTGCTTAACCCACATCTCTGGATACACTTCCAGCAATGTAACACCAAACCCTACAAGAACATGTCTGTCATCAGACTTTTCCCTTTTCCCAGGCTTTTCATCACTTCCTAAACACAATTTACCCACACCATGTAATGCCTGCTTCCTGCTCAGAGCACAAGTCCATTTTCTCAACCCCAAGCACAGGAAAAGCAGCATTTGTTCTTAGTCCCAGCTGCTCTGGCACTGATGTGCAGTGCTTCCCCACTCTCTGATGCCACCTTTTATTGGAATCCGATATTGCACTGACCTGGGCACCAACGTTAGAGGAAGCTGCAACACGCTGGCAACAGAAAGGAAGCTAGTTTGGAAGTGTAATGCAGCCCTGAATAATTTAAGGAAGGTCATAGCTTTTCACTGAACAAACTGACAATACCAGAGAAGCTCAACCTTGCTTACAAGAGCCCATAAGGTGTTCAGCACAAAGTCTCTCTTGCTCCCCGTTTCACAGGCTCTGTACATGGAGTAGCCTGGTCCAGAACTGCGGGTTCAGCCCGACATAAGAATAGTCTCCGTTACTTACTGGCATAGCAAGCTTCTGAGATGATACCCACCCAGAGGAGACTACACCAGCTGGTAATATTGGTAGGGACATGACAACCTCATTCCCGTGAGCTGGCAAAGCCTCCTGCAGGCGGTGCCCCAAGGTCAATCCTGTTGTTAAAGGAGGAAAAAAAAAAATTAGAAAGAGGACAGTTGTTTCTTGGTGTGATATAGAGAATATGAAGATGTCGGGACTTAAACCCAGGATGGCACTGAAAAGGAGCCTGGCTCTTCTTCCCAGGGAAGCCAGCACGAGTGGTAAGCAGCAGCAGGTCTTGCACGCTAGTCCACAGTGCCCTAATTTGCCTGTGCCGGGAATGCTCATGAAAGAAGTGAAGTGCTGCAAATTGCAATTAGCATCACGGCTATCAGCAGAGCACCACCTGGTGGGTCAAGCCTGGCCGGACTCGCCTCGCTCAGTCTCGGGGACATCAGGGCAAAAACGTGTCACAGCAGAAGCTGCACAGAGCAGAGCTCTTTCAGACTGGCAGGAAGCTGAAGGCAGTTTGGCCAGAGGAAGGAATGTGTGAGCGTCTGCTGATGAGGGCATGGAGAAACATGACAGCCTGCCGGAGGAATGTTTGCCGAATGCCCGGGTCGGGTAAGGATACAAGCAGCAAATGCCATGCAGGCTTCCAGCTGATGGAAGAGCTTGCTGGTTGCATAAAGCAAAACATTCAGC